TATATATATATATATATATATATACAGTATATATATGACCAAAACAAGACAGAGATGCTGACACTTAATGAATATTCATTAAGAATGTAAACTATTTTATAATTGGTTTTAAATATGTTGTATTAATATTAAATTATAACTGTCTTCTCGACTTCATAATAAACCAAGCTATAATTTTGCTCTCTGTGAACACAGTGTCTCATGGGATTTGAAACACATCTGTCTACAAGGGCTTCCACACAGAGATTAAGTTTTAATTGTGTTAAACCTTTTGACAATACTGTGACCAAACTGAACCGGCTGACCTTGTATTCATGATTCATACGCAAGCAGAAAGGATAAACGGGGATACTTGCCTGTCCTCAAATTTAAGGAGACACACTGTCTGAGGATAAATGCTGCTTCTCTAAGTGCCCTGCTTTAGAGGCTGAAACACAATCTCTGTGAATGGCACATCCTTTGACTATCAGATTTTGTGTGCTTATATTTAGGCTTCTTACCTTATCCAGGGGTCCATCTTGATCTATACAGGCCCCATCATACATTCCCCTTCGTATGTTTGATCACAGCAATCTTAAAGGCTCTTTGTGCACCTGTTCCCCAGTGTGATGTTTTCAGGGTGTGTAACAGTACCAGTTCATGACTTGCGTGTTTTTTTGTGAAATTTGTAAACTTCTTGGAATCTTTATATTTCACCCGAATTATAACAATTTGTTGAAAATGTGCTCACCCTCAGACCCCTTAGGCCATCATAGATGAGTTTTCTTCTTCAGAGCAGATTTGGAGAAATTTAGCACTACATTTAGCTTTACTTGCTCACCAATGGATCCTCTGCAGTGAATGGGTGCCATCAGAATGAGATATCAAACAGCTGATAAAAACATTACAAACATGCAGCGTTAATTAATGGACTGGAGTTGTATGGATTACTTGTAGATTATTGTGATTGTGATTTAAGACATTTTTAACATCAAACCATTGCTTCTGGCTATAATATTACTGTAATGTTTTTATCAGCTGTTTGGCCTCTCAATCTGATGGCACCCATTCACCACACATGATCCATTGGCGAGCAAGTGATGTAATGCTACATTTCTCCAAATCTCCTCCAAAGAAGAAACTAACTCATCTACATATTTAGGTGATCTGGTCCTTTAATGATGCACATTACAGTCCTTTCCCTCAAGATAAACAGCATGAAGATTGTGCACAGCTGTATTACTGTTTTGGCTAAGAAGCTGGTTTTCAAACTCCCTAAAAAAGATGCCCATTTCTATTAGATCTTTTGAGTAGAAACCAGAATTTGCAGGTAGGGACAAACTTTGACCACATAAAGTTCCTATCAGAAACTCATATGAACATATGAAATGTTGCTGGGAGTTTAATTTTTATATGAAAATGAAGAAGTACTGGACGAAATGACCATGTTTTTTAATTAAAGCTGAGAAAAGGGTCTTCCCCTTGAGACATTGGTCATTTAAAAGTCAATGTCTGGCCAGCACAAAGAGCTTTTGTGCTTTCCTTCACAATGCTATCACCAAAAGTCCTCACCAGACTGGCTGACCAAAGAAGCGAGGGGGGTTACTGCCTACCTGTGGACTTATAAAGCAGCTCTTGTGCTGACTTCAGTGAACTCTGCTCTTAGGATTTATCATCATTTACTTGCAGGAGAACCACACAGGAACCATGCAAACCTTCTGCTAGAGACCTGAGCCAACGCTTCTGGATTCTGCATTGGGATGGTACGAACATTAATTCTAATTCAAATATCATGGTGCTTTTGTATTGAAAATAATCATATTATCATTAAATATAGACAATTCAGTGCAAATTAAACAATTCTCTTTGTTCAGCTTTATGAAATGGCAGCTGTTGGTATTCTCTTCATTGTCATCCCCATGACGTGGGCCTGTACCCCTCAGAAAGCTGGTAAATGCATCACATTTTGAACATTTCCTCTCGTGTAATTTGTTGTTGGCATGATTTAATTGGCTAGATAATCCTGGCAGATTTATCATCTGTTTCAGATTACATCATGGTGTCATGTTTTCCCAATGCCATCATTGCAAACGTGCCAGAATGTCCATATGGATGGGAGATTGGCCAGCTGTCCCTGGGCGGCGTGTGCTACACTGGCATTAACACCCCGGGCTTCTATCGTTTCACCATCCCAGACCTGACTCCTAAAAATAACTCGTACTGCGGCACCCTGTCTGAGGTGAGACATTCGACTCATTTAATGTATCCTAACTATTATTTAATTAGAAAAAGAGCTAAAAATGTATCTGTTTCTACCTTCTTCTCAGTATGTAGGAGGCAAAGATCCACGATACATATTCTACAACTCAATAGTATCCAACGACTCCTCTCTCACTGTCCGGAACCAGCCCGTCAACTACACATTCAGTTGCACTTATAAAGCAGCTTATCTGGTCAACAATGCCGTTTTTAGCCAAAGGTAGACCCCGTTACACTGACGTCAAGTCCAGTAGGTGTAGATTTCATAGAGCCTGTGCATTCTGACCGTTGACTTGCAGCGTCTTTACTAAACCCTCTGCTTCTTCCAGAGTGGCAACAGTTTATGTCAACAACGGGAGTTTAGGTTCTTTTAAGTCTCAGTTGTCTATGAATGTGTTCACAGTGAGTACTTCTACTGTCCTCAAAAGTGTCCAGTGATGACGAATGTACAAAAGGGAAATTTACTCTCCCTTTTTTTCCCTCCATGTTTTTTTTCCCCTGAAAATGCCTTTCAGCAAATGTGGGGGAAAATATACACACACACACATACACACACACAATCATATTATCATTAAATATAGACAATTCAGTGCAAATTAAACAATTCTCTTTGTTCAGCTTTATGAAATGGCAGCTGTTGGTATTCTCTTCATTGTCATCCCCATGACGTGGGCCTGTACCCCTCAGAAAGCTGGTAAATGCATCACATTTTGAACATTTCCTCTCGTGTAATTTGTTGTTGGCATGATTTAATTGGCTAGATAATCCTGGCAGATTTATCATCTGTTTCAGATTACATCATGGTGTCATGTTTTCCCAATGCCATCATTGCAAACGTGCCAGAATGTCCATATGGATGGGAGATTGGCCAGCTGTCACTGGGCGGCGTGTGCTACGCTGGCATTAACACTCCGGGCTTCTATCGTTTCACCATCCCAGACCTGACTCCAAAGAATCACTCGTACTGCGGCACCCTGTCTGAGGTGAGCTGTTTGATTGGTTTAATGTATCCTAACTATTATTTAATCAGAAAAAGAGCTAAAAATTGTTTGGCTTCTATCTTCTTCTCAGTATGTAGGAGGTAAAGACCCACGGTACATATTCTACAACTCAATAGTATCTAACGACTCCTCTCTCACTGTCCGGAACCAGCCCGTCAACTACACATTCAGTTGCACTTATAAAGCAGCTTATCTGGTCAACAATGCCGTTTTTAGCCAAAGGTAGACCCCGTTACACTGACGTCAAGTCCAGTAGGTGTAGATTTCATAGAGCCTGTGCATTCTGACCGTTGACTTGCAGCGTCTTTACTAAACCCTCTGCTTCTTCCAGAGTGGCAACAGTTTATGTCAACAACGGGAGTTTAGGTTCTTTTAAGTCTCAGTTGTCTATGAATGTGTTCACAGTGAGTACTTCTACTGTCCTCAAAAGTGTCCAGTGATGACGAATGTACAAAAGGGAAATTTACTCTCCCTTTTTTTCCCTCCATGTATTTGTTGTTGTTTTTTTTCCCCTGAAAATGCCTTTCAGCAAATGTGGGGGAAAATATACACACACACACATACACACACACAGGAAATTAAGCAATAAATACACGTATTATTATATAATTTGTATATTGTATTTGTGTTTTTTTTTTTTACTTGCAAATTTTGTGGTTTGTAGAACTCAAAGTTCCTCTATGCAAAAGATGCACCATACGTGATTGACACATCTGAGATCGGATCTGAGGTGTTCATTGGCATTGAAGCAAAAGGACTGAGTAACAGGTGAGTTGCTCAAAAGAAAGGAATCTATAATCTGCATGAATACACAGATTCACAAAGTCTGTGTAAAAGAATCTCTTTTTAATGTTTGTAGATTCAAAGTGGTAATAACTAATTGCTGGGCAACACCTACTCCATATTCAACAGACAGGAAACGGTGGATTTTAATTCAGAACAGGTAAGGTTTTATTATCAGTTCAAACATATTAGGTTTCACTGTGATTCAATCCTGCTCACTGGGTAATATATTTGCTCTTGGTTCACAGTTGCTCTTTAGACAACACAGTCACCATATTTGAAAATGCCAAAGACAGTCGGTCCATGTTCAAGTTTAACTCATTCCGCTTCCAGCGGCTAGAGAAGGTTTCCACCGTGTGGCTCCACTGTGAGGTCCAAGTATGTGACGGGGATAAGCTATTTTGTCAACCGGTGAGTGACAGTATCAATTTAATGCTGTTGTAGTTTCAAATAGATTTCTGGCTCCACTGAGACTCTTCTGAACTCTATCCAAGACACCATGTACATCAAGAAGCACTGAATCTGAACCTGATCCAAATGGAGGCATCCTGACCATGGAGTTTCAAGTCAGAGGTATATAACATTTTCACTTCTGCATAATTAGTTTGATATTCAATAACATGTTTTTAAACCCTTGAACTCTGTTAACAGCACAACACTCCTCTAGTTATATCCATCCTGCAGGTAAGTTTGAACTACCAATGCAGACACATGAATGATATTCATGTTTTTATATATTTATATTGGTTTTAAAGTACACCAGTTTTACAGCATTATGGCTGCTTTTATATTCATTAAAAAGTTTTTCAGATTTTATTTTTTACATTTTTAATTATCTTATCAAAACTAAGTCACTTTTTGATATAATGCTAAGATTTCCTATGCTTATCCTTCTATTTTACAGGCCCATTTCTGTGTCTGCTGTCCATATTTCTACTGAATGAAGTTTTAGGATACTTCAGTTGGTAATGGGGCCAGATATGGGTCATTCAGATGCAATGAATCATGCCTTTGCACTAACACAATTACATTCAAATACTTAAAAATAGACATGCATGCATGCATACACCCACATACAGCAAACATACGTGTCTCAGGGAGTGTATCGACACATTCCTTTCAATGTTCACTTGCTGTTTTTTACAGTTTTTATTTGTGTATTCCTTACATGAATATTGGTAGAACAATAAATAATCTCTGAAGCAGGTACTATCAATTGTTAATCTGTAGTTTAACAGGCAGAGACACATTCTTGCTTTTATCTAGCATTATACATGTAAAAATATTTTGAAATCTTTTTAGTAATTAAATTATTTTAAAAGATGTTGTCTTGACATTTTCTTGCTTTATATTTTTAAAAATCAATTTTTTAAATAAAATTGTTTTTTTGTGTGTGTGATAATGTCCTATATACAAGAGCGTATATAAAATCATGGTCAAACTAGATATCGGGTACAGTAAGTGTGTGCATTTCTGTCATTTTAGCCATGGCTGGGGTCCACTGGATTGCTCTTCGGTCTCCATCATTCATTGGGGTTGCTTTGGTTTTCTCCTGTTTAGATATGACAGGGCAAGACTGTCCATATACAGTGTGTCAGGCCTCCATATAGCACTTCCTTTTAATTAGCATGAACACCTCAAACTGTGAAATAAAAAGAACCATAAGTGTCTTGATACCTACATCTGTTCCTGATTTAGGACTTGCATTACAGTCCTGGCCAGTGGGTGGAAAACTGAATCCCGATTTGCTTATCAACCAGAAAGTTTTCTGTGTTCCCTTTCCCTAGAAAACACAACAGAGATATGATTAGATGCACAGACATGGCATGACAGTAGACACTGTTTATATACAAGTTCGACGCCACTTTTTTTTGTTTGATATTAGAAATTATATTAATATCAATTTACGTCATAACATTTCTTTATTTTACATTGTTCACAATCCTAAAACATATAGTTTATTTTCAGGAAAAAAAATAGATTTTAGTGTGATCTTAGACTTTTGGAGCCCATTGTATAAATTTGTAATTATACCTTTATTTCAATATCGCCCCTCTCTTCCAGTTCAAAATTTCCTGTCTTTAAGAGAATATCAGCAGTGCTCTGGGAGACATGGATTCTCAGTGCTGAGAAGGATATCAGCAAGAATAAAGTGTTTCAAACATTTCAATAGATTATAAATGTTGACTGATAAATATAGGTAAAATAACTTAATAGCCAGTAAAAATGAGAAAAGTCCTTACGAAGACTGTTGCTCTCCATCCTAGAAGCCGTGTTCACTGTATCACCAAATAAACAGTACCGGGGCATTGTATTACCCACAACTCCAGCAACCACTGGGCCTGTATATGCAAAGGACAGAAGATTGAGATGGAGTTTTTTTTTAATAATTTCTTATATATCTTTCTTATATATCTCTTACAACATATAGTCCACAATACACTTATAGTATGTACCATACCAGAATTGATCCCAATCCGTAAAGCCAATTTTTCATTAGGCAGATGCCTAATTTTGAACCTTTTGATGGCGGATAGGAAGTGGAGTGCCATAGTAGAGATCTCCTCAGCATGACGAGTACCATTACAGATAGGCAGACCACTGGCCACCATATATGCATCCCCTATTGTCTCCACCTACCAGAAACAAGTAAATGTAAATAAACTAGAAATACAATTTAATTGACAGAAATATATGCTCATTAAAACATTTATCAAGAATCAATAGCATTCATTAAGATCTTCATCTATTCATGTCACATTATACTGCAAACCTGGTTATGTTTATTCACTCAGAATTTCTGAAGTAAATCATAAAAAATGAGGAGCAAATACTTGCACAGAATTTTGCATTCAGTCTGAATATTCTGACAACCATACCAGCAGAGCATGAACGGGCACAGTTGCTGTGTATTAAAGTGAGTATTGTTTCACTTACCTTGTAGACATCATATAGCTTAATGATCTCATCAAAAAGACTGTAGAGGTCGTTGAGGAGGGTAACCACCTCCAGAGCCGAGCTAACGGAGCACATGGTGGTGAAACCCACAATGTCAGAGAAGAAAATGGTCACCATGTCATAACTTGTGGGCTCCACTGGTTTCCCACACATTAGCTGATCAGCAATATACCTGTAAGGACACACTGCCATTAGCTGACCCATAACTGGTTTATGTGTTATCAACACTGAGATTTTAGGTTAAAATGTAAATGAATGTATGTGAGTCAATTAACGGAGTCCCTAAGGGGGCGTGGTGATGAAAGAAAATATAAGATGAGAGAGGGAAAAAAAAGTATTACGTTCCCCCAAGAAACTTTGCATCACTCGCAAAACTTCTATGGAAAAGTCAAGATATAAGGTGAGAGAAAAAAATTATATTTCAGGGCTTTTGCGAGAGAACGCAAATGTTTTGCATCGGGGATAGCAATATTTTTGCAAGTTTCTTGGGGGAATGTAATACTTTTTGTATGCAAAAGTATTACGAGTTTTGCGAACAATGCAAAAGCTTTGGGATCGATCACAAAAGTTTTGTCAGCAAATGCAAAAGTTTTGCAAGCAAACACAATGTTTCCTCCCATCTCCTTTTTTTTTTAACCATCATCATGTTTTTTAGGGGTTCTGTAAAAATTTATATCTCAGGTCCTATAACTATTTTTTAGAGTCTTATAAAAAAAACATGTTAAGCATCTTTTCATTCTCAATAGTTTTCAGTGGTGGGCCGTCAGGGCCAGCAAAGCCTTCTCTGCTGGCCTAAACACTATCATAATCACTGATTTAGTTTAAAGGGTGGTTGTTTGCGATTTCACTTTTTTAATGTTAGTTAGTGTGTAATGTTGCTGTTTGATCATAAACAATATCTGCAAAGTTACGAAGCTGAAAGTTCAATGCAAACTGAGATATCGTCTTTTAAAATTCAGGCAGTTTAATGCCTACAAAAACGACTGGTAAGGGACTACAACGAGTTACTTCCGGGGTCCGTTACGTCAAGAACCCAGAATTTGACATAAACCCCGCCTCCGGGAACACGCTTTAATATATTTTTCCATGAATGTGTATTAAATTATTTGCAATAGTCTATTCTCTTCATTTCATAGCTTTTCTCTTGGTTGCACTGCTTCCAGCAGTGTAT